GTCACCTCCGGCGTCGACAACGGTGCCTTAATGACGTGTGGCACCTCTTGGGCCACCACGATGCTTTGCTGCGTCCAAGGCGGCGCCCGAACCACAAACGGCGTTTTGCTCGCCGGCACATGGACAACCGCCACGTTGGCTGTCAGCGCCACTGGGCGAGGCTCATCTGTATATACAAAATTTTATTAATATCTGGTGAAGGAAATTTTTGTTTTGGTGTTGGTCAGTTGTTCAATATGTGTTATGATGTTATGTGTGTGAGTTGTGTTTTTGTAATGTTTATGCTTGTGTGAAAAAGTTGACAAAAACAAACTCACCAACCACCGGTGGAACTGCCGCCGTCGAAACTTCCGGCTCGGGTGGCACGACCTCCTCGCACCACCTCCACGGTGTCACTACTCGATCCATCTCGGACCAATGTCCGACGCAGACCGTTGGCGACAGCAGCTTCACCTCCTACAAACAAGAATGGCTGTCATACATGTCATTTATTCCGTTTTTTCTCGACACTCACCTTGAGATCCGCCTGCCTGACGCAGTCCAAAAACAGCGTCACCCCGACGAACGTCACGCGGCGCCCGTAGCCGCCGGCGCCCCTCACCTCCTCGCCGCAGACGTCCCAACACCCGAACGCCCCGTCTTCGGAACCGCAGTCCGCCCCAGCAGCCGCAACACCAACGACCAGCAACACCAGGATCCTCAGGAACGCCATCTGTGAACATTTCAAAAAATTTTGTTATTTCTGAAAAGAAATTTTTTTTTGGCACTCAATTTTCACTTGCTGAATTTTCTTCTTGATGAAGTTGAAGATCCCCAACAGCACGAAGTCACTAGCCAAACAAACGATTCGCAAAACAATGTTTGAGGCCACCAACTCCAGGAGACCCATCAACTTTTGTCGACTCCTGGAGACAGGAAGTCGTTAACGACGCATCCGCGTCCGAAACGGAAATCGAGAAATTACAATCAGAAAAATTTGAAAAAAATACACTAAGTTAACAATACTCACCAAAGTTAACCGCCAAAATTTCAGGCCCAACGGATCATCCGTTAACGAATGGCCCTTGATGCCAACTGAAGAAGATATTTTCATTCTTCTTGATCCGAACATCTGTCGGATCCATGCCTGATTCCTCCTGATGGATAGCAATAACAATTGCCATTTCCATAAAGCCTTTATGGCTCCTGAAAGAAACAGCAATGGAAAATAGGGCACTATTGCACTGAGTCTCGCACTCGGTTCACTTGTTGTTCCTTTTTCTGCTGACTTTCACAAAAGGATGGAACCTTTTTTTTTNCACTCCTAGCAACACTGTTGTGCAGCTGGATAGTGATGAATTTGCGTTTGTGGATAATGACAAGGGAAGGATCACTCAGTATTGTTCTGGTTCCAAAAATTCTAGCATATCTGCATCTGAAAATTCTTATGAACTACCTTATTCTGGAATTCTTCAATTTAAGCCTAATTGTCGCTATACAGTTGTGAATGGTCCTTTTACTGATGTGTTGCCTAAACTTGAGAATATTGAGATTAATGTGGTGCAAGAAATACCTGCTGTCATGCCAGGGATCCATCAAATTTCCTCAGACATCAGTGAGCTACAAATTCATTTTAGAGACTACGGTTATATTTATATGATTGTGTCAGTCTCATTGTTGCTCATTATCCTACTGTGTCTTGTTTATCTATGTTATGCCAAGATTCGCTATGTCTTACAACTTAGGAGATCCTCTCCTTCCAGGAGAACTGATGATGCTCAAGCATCTGTGAGGTTTATTCAATCTCCTACTCCTAAGCCTGCAATTTACCCTAGATTAGAGATGGACTCCTCCACAGGAATCTTGTCCATTTGCTGATCACTTTCTGAAAAGGAATTCGGCTGGAAAAGACAAACAAAAAAGAGAATCAGAGGCCAGAAATTCTTTTTACAATTTCTCTATTGCCAAGAGACCCATATAAAAACGCGGGTACAAAAATGGCACTCTCTTTCTTTGACGCGATTTTACATCTACGCGTTCAACATCTCTTTAAAAGGATTATTGTCCTCAAGGACCAACTCTTCCTCTTTTTCTTCTGCGATGGGTTTATCCGCCTCTTCCAGCCCCAGCAGATCCACCACTGGTTGGGCTTCCGGATCCGGCTGATCCTCCGGCGTCAGCATCCGCACCAACTCCCGCATGTACGATGACTGTACAAAAAGACAAAAAGAAAAAGCCCCAAGCAAAGCATCAAAAATTATTGCATGCGCTGCTTTGTATTTACATGCTATTTTGTTTACCTTGTCTAAATGTTGAAACTCTTGGGGATCTAGCCCTGATATCTGCATAGTTTTGAGAGAAAACTTCAAACTCTTCATCATCAGAATCCAGCCCATTAAAAAATATGTTGGGCATAGATCCTACTATGCATTCTTTAACTTTAGCTTTATCTAATTTCAAAATTCTTTTCTTTCTCTATGTTTGAAAGGCATGCACAAAAAGCAAAAGCAAGCATGGAAGCAAAAGCATTGTTAATCATTTTTTATTGAAGCAAAAGAAAAAATTGGCTAACCTTGTTCCTGATGAACTTGACCAGCCAAACCAAGAAGACAGCCAGAGACGTGGCTCCAGCTCCTCCAAGGCCCATAAAGACCAGGACCATTGCTGTCCAAGGGTCCACGTCCGCCTTGACGTGCACAACACCATGCTTGATGTTGACCGTCACTTCTGGCGTCGACGACGGTGCCCTGATGATGTTTGGCGCCTCTTGGGCCACTACAACGCTTTGTTGCGTCAAGGGCGGCGCCCGAACCACAAACGGCGTTTTGCTCGCTGGAACATGGACGACCGCCAGGTTGGCCATCGGCGCCACTGGGCGAGGCTCATCTGTACATACACAATATTTTCATTTAAAATTGGTGAAGGAAAATTTTTTGGTCAAGGTACAGGTGTTGGTTATGTATTATGTTGTTGTGAACATGTTATGTGAGTGGTGTTTTGACATGATTATGTATGTGTGGAAAAGCTGACAAAACAAACTCACCAACCACCGGCGGAACTGCCGCCGTCGAGATCTCCGGCTTGGGTGGCACGACTTCCTTGCACCACCTCCAAGGCGTCACGACACGATCCATGTCGGCCCGACGCCCAACGCAGACCATCGGCGACAACAGCTTCACCTCCTGAACAAAAGAAATGCTGTCAAATCTGCCACACAACAATACTGTTCCAGCTTACCTTCAAGTCTGCTTGCCGGACACAGTCCAGGAACAGCGTCGCCCCGACAAACGTCACGCGGCGCCCCTCACCTCCTCGCCGCATACGTCCCGACACAGGAACGATCCGCCTTCTGGACCACAGTTGGCCCCAACAGCAGCAACTCCGACGAACACCAGAACCAGCCGTCTCAGGAACGCCATCTGTGAACATTTCAAAAAATTGTTATTTCTGAAAAGAAATTTTTTTTTGGCACTCACTTTTCACTTGCTGAATTTTCTTCTTGATGAAGTTGAAGATCCCCAACAGCACAAAGTCACTAGCCAAACAAACGATTCGCGAAACAATGTTTGAGGCCACCAGCTCCAGGAGACCCATCAACTTTTTTTGACTCCTGGAGACAGGAAGTCGTTAACGACGCATCCGCGTCCGAAACAAAAATCAAGAAATTACAATCAGAAAAATTTGAAAAAAATACACTAAGTTAACAATACTCACCAAAGTTAACTGCCAAAATTTCAAGCCCAACGGATCATCCGTTAACGAATGGCACTCGATGCCAACTGAAGAAGATATTTTCATTCTTCTTGATCCAAACATCTGTCGGATCCATGCCTGATTCCTCCTGATGGATAGCAATAACAATTGCCATTTCCATAAAGCCTTTATGGCTCCTGAAAGAAACAGCAACGGAAAATAGGGCACTGTCGCACTGAGTCTCG